AGATCTAAGGGTCACAGTTTAAAAACAGCCTGGGCAGGAAAAACCCATGAGGCTCTTTTCTCCAATTATCCAGCAAAAAGCTGGTAGTGGATCTGTGGTTCAAGTTATAGAGCACCAGTCTTGAGTGAAAGGGAAGTATAAGGTTCTGTGTTCAAATCCTAGTACAGGCATGCACTCGCGCGCGCACAAACACACACACACACACACACACACACACACACACACACACACAAATGAACTATCTGCAAGGACTGAAGCTGGCCACCAGAATGCAGTACACATAGGAAAACCAAATTACAAATCAGGTGGCAATGGCTTCCACCTGTGATCCTAGCTGTTCAGGAGGCTGAGATCTGAGCATTCCATTTCAAAGCCAGCCCAGGCAGAGTAGTCCATAAGACTCTTATTTCCAGTTAGGCACCAGAAACCTGGAAGTGGAACTGTGGCTCAAAGTGGTAGAGCACTCGCTACCCAAGGGAAAAGAGATTCTGTTTCTCTCCTAGTCACCAAGCACACCAGGACTGCAACACCAGAATGTGTATTTGACCTTGGGACTCAGAAGATTGTGTTGCCAGAGTAACAAATTTGGCCCAACAGTTGTAACCCTGACATAGGTTTGGTAAGGTCCTGACTTCTGCAATAAGAGCTTGAGGTGTGGGGTGAGGGAGGTGGGGGGGAGGGGGGAGATGGGAAGGAATGGGAAGGGGAAACAAAGGAAGAGGCAACAATGCTTGATAAGAAATGCATTCATTACCTTGACCATGTAATTGTAACCCTCTGTTCAGTATTCTCACAATTAAAAGAAAAAAAGAGCTTGAGATGTGGAGGCAGAGAAGGTATTTTTTCTTTGTTTAATTTAAACTCTGGCACATTTAGTTATTTTTATTATGGCGGTACTGGAACTCAGGGCCACACCCTTGCTAGGCAGGTGTTCTATCACTTGAGCAGCATTTCCAGCTATGGGAAGGCATTTTGGGGGGGGGGGGTCCGGTCGTGGGCCTGAACTCTAGGCCTGGGCGCTGTCCCTCAGCTCTTCGGCTCAAGGCTAGTGCTTTACCACTTGAGCCACAGTGCCACTTCTGGCTTTTTTTTCTGTTTATGTGGTGCTGAGGAATCGAACCCAGGGCCTCAGGCATGCAAGGCAAGTGCTCTACCACTGAGCCACCTTCCCAGCCCCTGGGAAGGCATTTTTATCCAATCTTCTTGGTTAAAAATAAGTGTGTAAGTTGGGGGTGGGGAGCCCCACAATGTTTGGTGTCAGAAAACCCAGCTTGGACTTTGGACATTGCTACATAGTCCTTTGAGTCTGTTAGTCAGAAACTAGTAAGTATAAATTATAAAACAGAAGCCAGGCATCAGTGGCTCACGCCTGTCATCCTAGCTACTCTGGAGGCTGAGATCTGAGGATCATGGTTCAAAGCCAGCTGGGGCAGGAAAGTCCATGAGACTCTTATCTCCAATAAACCACCAGAAAACCAGAAGTGGCGCCGTGGCTCAAGTGGTAGAGCATTCACCTTGAGCTGAAGAGCAATACACACACACACACACACACACACACACACACACACACACACACAAACAGATCTATTTTTTATCATCATGGATCCAACTGTGCTCTGTGGTGTGGTGTGATGCCGTGTGGTGTGGTATGGTTTGGTGTGGTTTCCCAGGGCCTTATGCACCCAAGCAACTGCTTGCTTTTGAGCTACACTCTTCGCCTGAATTACATACCCTCTAAAACTTCTCTTGCAGAATTAGAGCTGTGGCTCGAAGTAGTCAAGTACTACTATTGAGTGAAAAAACTCAGGGACAGTGCCCAGGCTGTCACTTCAAGCCTCACGACCAACCAAAACAAACAACAAAAAGCTTTTCTTGCCAGGCATGGTAGTTTATGGCTGTAATCCCAACTCCTCAGAAAATCTTAGGTAGGAAAATTGTAGTCCAATTTTTAAAAAAAAAAATTCAAACCCGACCTGAAAAATAACCAAAGAGAAAGAGAGTTGAGTTGCATTTCAGGCGGTAGAGGGCCTGCATGAGGCCCTGAGTTCAAACCCCAGTTCCACTAAAACAAAACTCTCATCCTTTTAGCAATGTCTATTGCATTATGTAACTCTCCGGTCAGTACTGGTTACTAAAGCTAAGCCTGGTCTTAAATCTTAACCTCAAAGTCAGTTCAAATTTCATTGCCTCCCCTCCTCACCCACTAGAGGTAGACCTATAAGACTGTTTTGTTTTGTTTATTTGTTTTTATTTTGTAGTTTTATTTCTCAAAATACTTTAGCCTAAAGGAAAGACAACTAAAGGACAAGTGACTCTTGGCCTAACTGGCTATAGCTGTGACCTTTGTTGGCTGAAGCTAATTCCCAGTCCAGCGGGAGCAGGTCCTCTGTGTGCCAGCTCTCTTAGAGCAAATATACAAAGACTTGAGTGTCCACAGAAACTTTCTCAGTTTCTTTGTCTCTTGATCTGAGACTTGAGATCCCCACCTCCTCCAATTCCCCACCACACATGGTCTCTTGCTGCCTTTTGGGGTGAGATGCCCTAAAGGTAGGCGTCGACCTTTACCTCAGCCACGTAAGCCATGGCTGTTCTAGCTCCCAAATCCTGTACTGAAATCCAAGCCTTCCTGTGACTATGCCTGACTATGATTTCTTGGGAGATGGTTAAATCATGAGGATGAGACCTTCCCGAATGGGACTGGTGCCCTTATAAGAGACCCTGGAGATTTAAGAAGTAGCATTCCCAGGGCAAAGTTCAAAGGTGACCCTGCAACCAAGGTCTGAGAAAGGACCCCCCCCCACACACACACAACCCTAGGCATGGGGAGATGGCAGGGAATGTAGGAACACATGCCCTCCTGCACCTAGAAAAGGAGGGAGGAGACAGTGCCAAGGCCCTTCACCGACAAACCCTGTCCTCATCTTTGCATTTAGAAGGGTTTCATGAGGGCTTGAATGAGTGAACACTTCATGGGGAAGCACAACCCCAGATCCCTTTAGTAGGAGAAAAAAGAAGAAGGAAGAGAAGGGAGAGGAGAAGGAGGAGAGAGAGAGAGAGAGAGAGAGAGAGAGAGAGAGAGAGAGAGAGAGAGAGAGAGAGAAGAGAGGAGAGAGAGAGAAAGAAAAAGGGAAAGTACTTAAGGGACTCTTTGAGCCCATGTGGAATGAGAAGAGCCCTAAAACGTCAGATCTTGGACCCCTAATGGTTGGTGACAGGTCAGAGGCAGAAAGGAGCTGATCCTAAGCTCTGGAAGAGGCAGTGAGCGTCCGTGATGCCCTTCACCCTTCCAGGTTTTTTTTTTTAATTGTTATTATTAAAGTGATGTAGGGGGTGACAGTTACATAAATCAAGTACATTTCTTTAGCACAATGTCACCCTTTCCTTCGCTCTCTCCCAGCTTTTCCCTCCAGTCCCCACGTTGTACAGTTCATTTTCCACACAGTGTCTAGTGAGTACCACTGCTGCATTTGTTCACCCTTTGTCTCACGATTTCTGTGCCCCCTTTACCTTCCCGAAGACGTATAAACTAGCAAACAGAACAAAAAGGACGGAAAACAAAAGTAGCAAAAAAAAAAAAAACCTATTGCTTTCATTTCCTGGAGCTCATCTCGATAAATTATTGTGTATGATCAGATTCACTCCACAATTCGATCTCGTTTTCCAGCCTGGCCCAGCGTCTGCATGACACCAACCCCCAGACCCACGCGAGCAAGTGCAAGACTTGGAGCCGGAGCAGAGCCGCCTCACAGAAGCACCCAGATGTGGAAGCCAATTAGAGAGCCAGGGAGCGGCTGTCACTCAGAAACATAGCCAATAGCAGAGAGACAAGCAAAACTACCCGCCTTCTAGGCGTCACCAGCCAATCATAGATGAGACTGCGGCTAACATTGAGTGGCAGGCGGCAAAGAGTTTCCGGCAAATCAGAAGCCTCTCTTACCCCAGTGAAGACGTTGATTGGTTCCTTCTCAGAACCAATTTTGGGTAAAAGGCATTTCCTTAGCAACGCAGGACCCCGCCTCCGGCCTCAGCGACTACGGGGCTGGGAGCTGGCCTTAAAGGGCCAGCTACTGCGGATTTCCCTGAATTGCTGGCGAGCTCAAACACTGATCACAGTAATACATCAAACCCTAACCCCAGTAATAAAAGAAATCAAAAGCTACTCCCAGCCGGACGCTGGTGGCTAGGGCCTATAATCCTAGCTATTCAGGAGGCTGAGATCTGAGAAACAGTTCGAAGCCAACCTGGGGCAGAAAAGTCCATCAAGACTCTTACCTCCAATTAACCACCAAAAAATCCGAAGTGGAGCTGTGGTTCAAGTGGTAGAACACTAGTTGAGCAAAAAAAGCTCCCAGGCCCTGAGTTCAAGCCCCTGGATCAGCCCAAAAGAAAAAAAATCCAAAATGAATATTTAAAACATTTTTTAACAAAACACACAAACATACAACTAAAAAACCCAGCCTATTCCAGAGGGGGAAAACACTGCTCACTAACTTTGCCTTGGCTCTTTTCTCCACTGGACTAGCAAACCTCCATGATAACATCCTTACCTCCTTCTCCTCTTCCTTCTGAAGAAGGAGGCTGGGGTCTGGATCGGTGGGTCAGAGGGAGGAGGTAGGCCCTGGACCCTTGGGTCAGAGGGAGGAGGTTGGGCCTGGACCCCTGGGTCTGAGGGAGGAGGTTGGGCCTGAACCCCTGGGTCTGAAGGAGGCTGGGGCTTGGACCTGGGCCTCAGGGAAGACTAGGCCTGGACCCTTGGGTCTGAGGGAGGAGGCTGGGGTCTGGACCCTGGGTCTGCCCAGGTGCCCCCAGCGGAAGGAGACCAGATTCTGCTGAATCTAAGCACGTATGGCGGAGGCAGACCCAGGGCGGAGGCAGACCCTGGCCTACTGCGCACGTGGGCGAATTCCTGCCTTCTTCCTTTACGGGCCTTCCCCACATCCCAAGGGCACTGGAAGAACCGAGGTGAAGTTTCTAGAAGAAATTCAGACTCTCTGGTGAAAATGGAGCAGCAAAAAGACAAAGCCGAATCTGAAGGGTGAGCGGGGACCCCAAGGAGCCAGCGCCCCCTCAGAGGAGGGGACAGTCACAGGGCGGGGGAGGGGGGGCGAGAGCAGACCCCAGGGGGATCAGGATAACCAAGGCTCCGCTCCACACATAGAGGCGCAGGCCCTCGCCGACCTGGGAGGGAGGCAGGACGGAAGTAGAAACCAAATTTATCAAACAAGAGAAATATCAACAACAAACAACCAGGAGCTGAGGACAGCTGTGGGGCAGGAGAAAACAATAATTGCCCACATTTTTTGTTTGTTTGTTTGTGTTGGTCATGGAGCTTGAACTCTGGGCCTGGATGCTGTCCCTGAGCTCTTCAGCTCAAGGCTAGCGCTCTACCACTTGAGCCACAGCACCACTTCCCGTTTTCTAGTGGTTCATTGGAGATAAGAGTCTCACGAAGTTTCATGCCCAGGCTGGCTTTGAACTGTGATCCTCAGATCTCAGCCTCCTGAGTAGCTAGAATGATAGGCGTGAGCCAGTGGCACCCGCTTGCCCACATGTATTCAATACTTATCCAACTCAGTCCTTCAAAGACTCACCTTTGATGGAACCCAGAGCCATCCTTGGATATGAAAAGATATGGTTCAGGTTGAAAAAAATGGTAGCTCGCCTGTCTGCTGGAATGAGCAAGGCCTCAGTGAACCACTCCCAAACAAATGAAAACTGCAGTGGGTGCTGGTGGCTCATGTGTGTAGTCCCAGTTTACTCTAGAGACTGAAGTTTTGAGGATTACAGTTTGAAGCCAGCCAGCCAAGGCAGAAAAGCCCATGAGATTCTTATCTCTAATGAACCACCAAAAGGCTGGAAGTGGAGCTGTGGCTCACGTGGTAGAGTGCCATCCTGGAACAGAAAAAGCTCAGGGACATCACCCAGGCCCCGAAAACAAGCCATCCATGGCAGGGTTGGCTCTCTGTACCCAGAAAGATGGTGCAGGTAAGAGGCTGCCTAGCAAATGGTAAGGCCCACTGCTGACCTGTCTTCCTATCATTCTAGGAACGACCAGTCCCTGCCAACTCCTGGGACCCAGTTGCGGACCCCAGGGACCATCCCAGCCCTGCCACCATGGCTCCTGGGTACCTCCAACCCAGCGCAGATGGGTCTCCCTGAGCACCTGGCCTCGGTGACCGTCCCCATCCGCCTGGACACCCTTTCGTACCTCCTGCACAGCGCTCTGATGGGGACCTACAGTCTCTACCAGTCCCTGCCCTCCTGCCCCTGTGCCTCCCAGCCAGGCCACGGCCAGCCGGCCACGGCCAGCTGCCCCCCCACACCCCGGGGCCGAGGCCGGGGCCGGGGCTGGGCCCGTGGAGGGCGGGGGGTCCAACACAGGCCTGCTCCCAGCCAGGGCCAGCCGCGGTGGGGGGTTGAGGATGCTGAGCAGCCAAAGAGGAGCGGGGCTTGGGATGACGGGGCTGTCCCCAAGGTCCCCAGGATGGCAGCCCCGGCCCAGGATGACAAGGAATCCAGAGATCCAGAGCCAGTCACAAACCCCTGGCCCGCGGCTGAGGACTGGGAGTCTGAGTCATAGCACCCAGAGAGGCCTTGTTGGGGTACCTTAGCCCACCGGACGTACCCCAACACACATCCTGTCCAGAGCCTCAGAAGTGGGTTCTGGGTCACCTGGTGTGGTCTCCACTTGTCACAGGATGGGGGGGGGTCCCAGATCTGTTCCCGCTCCCTCCACTCCCAGACCTGGTCCAGCAACCTGTCCCCCAGAGCTCCTCTGAGCCCTCCCCCCCACCCTGCCTCGTGCTGACTTATTTCCATCCCCTCCCCCACACAACTCTTCCCTCCCCTTCTTTACCCATCCAGACCCCTTTCTCCTTTCTTGATCCTCATTCCTTGGGGCCCGGCCAGGTCTCCTCACCCTTTCTGCCCTGAGCACCCCTTGCACTGTGGACCCCTGCACCACCCTGCAGTATCCCTGCTCTTCTCAGTGGGTCAATAAATGGATGGTTGTCTTCTAGCACTGTGTTGGTGGCAAGTTCTTTCCTGGCTCAGGCCACCTGGTGCTGTGAGGAGCAGGGAGGGCTTGGGGAGGCCACAGGGGCTGTGGGGGGGGGCGGGGAATGGAGAGGCCGGAGGGGCCATGGGGGGGGGCATCAGCATCCCTGCCTCAGCGATTCCCATTGGAGCCTCTGCCACCACTGCATTTCTGTCCACTAGAAGCTACTGGACCCCGAGGCCCATTGTGTGTGTGGCTTATGGGTCTATTGTAGGGGGGGGCTTAAGGGATTTGGGGACCTGCAGGACAGGGAGGACAGAGACCTGGCTCGGCTCAGTCTGCACAGAGGGGCTGTGGCGGAAGGAGGGCTCCACACGGGCTCTGCCACGCAGGTAGGCACCAGACGTGGGCCGATCGTCCTCAGGAAAGGGATGTTGCAGCCCCCTCCCCTCCCAGGGGTCCCCCATCCCCACCCCTCAGCTAGGACTCAGGGCCTCAGATCCAAGCCTGTTTCTTACCACAGATCAGACAGCCAAAGTCCCCAGCCTCCTCTTCCTGTAGGCCACTGGTCCAGGCCCTAGCCAACTCCCTCAGACCCAGGGGTCCAGGCCCCAGCCTCCTCCCTCAGACCCAGAGGTCCAGGCTCCAGCCTCCTCCCTCAGACCCAGGAATCCAGGCCCCAGCCTCCTCCCTCAGACCCAGGTGATCCAGGCTCCAGCCTCCTCTGTCAGACTTGAATCCAAGCCCCACCCCCCCCTCCTAGGTCCCTTGAGTCCAGTGACCCCTGTGTCTGCCATCTGTCCCTCCACAGGTCACCATGTACAGCTTCATGGGTGGCGGCCTCTTCTGTGCCTGGGTGGGGACCGTGCTGCTGGTGGTGTCCACGGCCACGGACCACTGGATGCAGTACCGGCTGTCGGGGTCCTTCGCCCACCAGGGCCTGTGGCGGTACTGCCTGGGCCCCAAGTGCTACCTGCAGACGGAGAGCATTGGTGAGCCGCGCCCGCCAGGGCCCCCGCAGTCTCTGAGGGGATGCCACCAGCAGGAGAGGGGCAGAAGCTGGCTCTAGGACTGGGTTTGAGTGGCCCAGTGGGGTGTGCAGGTTTGGGGGTTGGCTGAGGAGGGAGGTGATATTTCCTGACACAGAAAGGTGTGACTCATGGGGTCTACAGAACAACCGGAGCAGAAGCGTGTGCACAATTGCTGGGAACCATGGTGGCGGGAGGGCCCATGCCCGCGTCTGGGGGTGTGGAGTAGAGGATGAAGAACTTTTCTTTCCAAATCTTCTTTGTGCACTGAAGATTGATCCCAGAGCCTCCTGTCCCGTGTTGGACAAGTGCTCTACCACCCAAGCCACGCCCTCCGCCAGTTGAGGATTTTTTGTTTGTTTGTTGCTAGGTTTTTTTGTTCTATTTTGTTTTTTCAATCATGGGGCTTGAACTCAGAACGTGGGTGCTGTCCCAGAGCTCTTTCACTCAAGGCTAGCGCTCTAGCGCTCTAGCACTTTGAGCCAAAGCTCCACTTCCAGTTTTCTAGGGGTTCCTTGGAGCTAAGAGTCTCATGAATTTTCCTGCCTCAACTGGCTTCAAACCATGACCCTCAGATCTCAGCCCCCTGAGTAGCTAGCAAGACAGGTGTGAGCCACCGGCACACAGACAGCCCTTTGGTTTTTATTTCATTTTTGATAACTTTGCCTGGTTAGCCCTAAACTCATGATCCTCTTATCCCTGCTTCCCCAATCAAATAGCTGGGATTACAGGGGTGAACCGTGCCTGGTTTGGGTGAAGGAATGGTTAGTACTTACTGCATGCTCGGAGGGGGAAGGAGAGAGAGAGAGAGAGAGAAAGGGAAGGAGGGAGATTCCTACATAGAGATAGTAGATATAGTATATTACCTGGTATATGTTATATATTAGAATATCTATAGTATATTAATATTATATTAATAATATCCATATGATATAGAATATAGTGAACTGATCATAAAAAGTACACTATTAAATACAATGTATTATGCAATCTAGTATACCATAATTGATGGTGTATATGACATCACACAATATTTTATGTCATATATTAATAAATTAGCAATTTAGTAGTAATATATATGGAGCAGTACTATGCTCTAGAGAGAGAGGGAGAGCCCACAGTCACTGAGCCCTGTGGCAAGGGTAAACTGAGGCAGGGGACCTGCCTGACTTCACATGGGTGACATTTGTGACCTCTGTGACACTTGACCGGCTCAGGGAGGGCTCTGAACTGTGTCTCTGCCAGACAGCACGGGGTGGTTGAGGGGGGGGAGGGGAGAGGGGGGAGGGGGGAGGGGGAAGGCACACTTCCAGAATATCCTCAACGTCTCTCACCCAGAAGTTCTGGAGTCCTTTTTATTTTTTCTAGTTACGGAAATTTGAACTCAGGGTTTCACACTTGCTGAGCGCTGCCTCCCCCACCCTGGCCTTTTCCGTTAGTTTCTTTTTCAGATGGAGTATAGGGGTAACCTTACCCAAGCCCCAAGCCAGTATCAGACAGCTCTCCTCCTCCACCTCTAGAGTAGCAGGGATTACAGATGTGTGCCGCTGCACCTGACTTCTCTTTGCTGTGGTGCTGGGGTCAAAACCTAGGGCCTTATATCTGCTAGGCTGGCACTTTACCACTGAGCACAAATCCTGCCCTGGTTTGGCTGGCCTCATTTGCTCGCCAAGCTCCCAAATGAGAGCAGGAGGCTTGGGCTGGCCTCCCAGGGCAACCGAGTAGGCGGATGAGGCTGTGATTGCTTCCCAGGGCCTGTCCTGAAGAGCCAGCCCTGGGCCAGCACAGCAGAGGAGAGGCCTCGAAATGCCAGAGCTGGGGGAGGGAGGCGGAGGCAGACACCTCGCATGTGAAAAGCCATCCACAGCTTCACACACAGCAAAGGGAAAGAGAATGTGAGAACAGAGTGCCGTTAGCAGGAAGGAGGGGGAGTGCTTCCTTCTGTCCTTCCCTCTGTCTGTCCATGCATCCAACCACTCACCCATCCATTGGTCCATGGGCCTATCTGTCTGTCTGTCTGTCTGTCTATATATCTATTTTTCTATCTACCTATCCATTCATGTATCTATCCATCCATCTACCTACCCATCTATTTACCTGTCAGTTTGTCTGTTTAACCATCCATCCATCCATCCATCCATCCATATGTTTACATCTTTCAATCAATCAATTAATATTCTATCTATTCACTGATCTATCAGTCTGTCACTGGTCTATACATCTGTCCATCCATCCGTTTGCCTGTTTGTTCGTCTATTTTTCCATCCATTTGTCTATATCTATCTATTTATCTGTCATCCATCCGTCTGTCTGTCTATCTTATTGGTCTGTCAGTCTACCCATTTGTCTATCCATCCATCCATCCATCCTTTCACCCATCTATCAAATACATACATACATACATTCATACATACACACATGTGCACATATATTGGACATGCATGTCTGTGTAAATCAAGCTGTGTGGACAAGTGGGAGGGTACATCCCAAGAATTAAGCCAGCCCTCTCCTCAGGAAGGAAACCATCTAGAGGGGACACAGGCAAAGTCAGTCATCGCCCGGAGCAGCCAGGGAGGATGCTTCTCAGAGCAGGTCGTCAGAGTTGGGCTTTGGAGGGTGAAGATGAGTTTGTCAGGAGAAAAGGAGAGCACTTGCTAAGAAGCAGAGGAGGAACTGAGGCAGACATGTGGAGTAGGACAGGACACCCTGGTCTGCAGGGGGACTAGGGGTGACCTGCGGTGTTCTCACAGCCTACTGGAATGCCACCCGGGCCTTCATGATCCTGTCAGCGCTGTGCGCCACGGCGGGCATCATCATGGGAATCCTGGCCTTCGCGCAGCAGTCCACCTTCACCCGCCTCTCCCGGCCCTTCTCTGCAGGCATCATGTTCCTGGCCTCCAGTGAGTGAACTGCCTTCCCCTCCTCCCTCCCCTCCTCCCTCCCCTCCCCCTCCTCCCTCCCCTCCTCCCCCATCCTTCCCTCTCCTCCTCCCTCTTCCCTCCTTCCCTTCCTCCCTCCTTCCCCCTTCCTCCTTCCCCTCCTCCCTCCCCTCCTCTTTTCCTCCTCCTTTCCCTCCTCCCCACCCCCCCCCCCCCCCCCCCCCCCCTCCCCTCCTCCCCCTCCCCTCCCTTCCCCCCTTCCTTCCTCTTCCCCACTCCCACTCCCACCTTCCCATTCCCCACTCTCCAGCCCATCCTCTAAACCAACTCCATGATCATCCGATCTCCCTTCCTCCTTCCTTCTTGCTTCCTTCCTTCTTTCCTTTCACCTTCCTTCCTTCCTCCCTCCCTCCTTCCTTCCTTCCTTCCTTCCTCCCTCCTTCTTCCTTCCTTCCTTCCCTTCCTTCCTTCTTTCCTCCCTCCCTCCCTCTTCCTTCCTTCCTTCCTCCCTCCCTCTCTCTCTCCCCCTTTCCTCCCTCCTTCCCTCCTTCTTCCTTCCTTCCTTCCTTTCTTCCTTCCTGGCAGATATCACTAAATCCCGCCACGCTGGCACTTTGTTGGTGTTTTATTTCACAAGTAATTGATGGGATTACAATCCAGGACTGTTCAACTTCCAGCTCTCCCTGCTTCTCCAAGGCTGGGCTAAGAACCCCAAACATATAGTCACCTGTTGGGGTTTCCTGGTGTGCAGCCAAGGAGATGAGCCAGCCATCTTTACATAAACTCCCCGTGTGGTCAGGAGTATCCAGGACATTCCTCTTATTCAGGAAGTCCCAAGGCTTCAGCCCCCTTTCCTGGACCAGGGTCTTTCTTCATTGTGATTGATTGAATATGGCATAGTAGGATTTGAATTCCTGGCCTTGTGCTTGCTAGGCAGGTGCTTTACTACTTGAGCCACGCCTCCAGCCCTGTCCTCCCCCCCCCTCACTCTTCTGCACCTCATTCTCTATCCAGCCCCACCCTTAGCCTCTGCAAGGCCTGGCCTGTCCCCCACCCCGCCCCTCTCCCCCCAGCCCTCTTCGTCCTGTTGGCCTTGGCCATTTACACTGGTGTCACCGTGAGCTTCCTGGGCCGGCGCTTTGGGGACTGGCGCTTTTCCTGGTCCTACATCCTGGGCTGGGTGTCTCTGCTGATGACCTTCTTTGCAGGTACAGGGCTGAGGGGAGGAGGGCAGCTGCTGGGAGTCAGGTGGGCACTGGGTGGGATGGGGGAAATGCGAGGCCACAAGAGACCACAGAGACAGTCTGAAGTCACCAGGGCTGGGAAGTCGGGGGGCTGTGGGCACAGAGGGGGTCTTGCAGGGTGACTTTGGAGGGACCAAAGCAAGATCTCTGTCCCCCACTCCCCCTCCCCGTAGGGATTTTCTACATGTGCGCCTACCGCATGCATGAGTGTCGCCGCCTGTCCACCCCGCGCTGACCGCCCACCAAGCGCCACGGCTGGAAGCTACGCCGAGGTCACCGGAGAGGAGAGGGAGGGTCTGGAGGTCCTGGTTCATGGGGGAATGAGGAGGCTCAGCCCTGGCCTCTGGGAGGAGCCCCCGACTCCTGCGTCCTGTCCCAAGGGGGAAGGGGAGGGCACGGACAAGGATGGAGCCCCCACCCGCCCCTTGGGTTGTTAGTGCAGTGGCAAATCCTTTAGAGGGTCTAATAAAACTGAGGTGAAACCAGGCCCAGGTGTGAATCCATGAGGGGCTGGGGCGGGAAGAAACAGAGGCTGGGTGTTTGGGAGGGAGGGAGGGAGGGAAGGAAGGAGGGGTGCTGTGTAATGGTCACCCCAAATTTTTAAGTTTCTGGAGAGCTGGGAATGGAAGACTCATTCTCCACCCAGAGCACTTCAGCTTCTAGAAAAGTTGACTTCCACCCTCCAGAAATGGAGGGGCAAGCAGCTTTCCCCGGGATTCCCCCAGCTCCCAACCTGGCCTCTTCACACTGACTGTAGCCTTGACGTTAACCTGCGCTCCATCCACTCAGTCATGAGCTTCTTCCTCAAGTGTTGACCCAGTGCCACGGGCTTTCCTGAGTGGATCCTAATCATGAGAATATTTACGATACCCCATGCTAATAAATGTGATATGAATAGAAGATTGGTCCCAGAAGCGTGATTTATTAAGTTCTGTGCAAGTAATAGTAGCTCTATATTTATAGAGGCGCCTGTGATCATCATGGAAAATGAAACCTCATTGTGATGATAATTTATCGGGGCCTCTGTAAGTGGAAATATGGAGGTTTATTCTAGAGATAATAGTGATCTTAGAAGGAGAACTCCAGGTGGGGTGCCAATGGCTCACTCCTGTAATCCTAGCTACTCAGGAGGCTGAGATCTAAGGATTGTATCTGTCTTTTGTCCCTCCTTTGGGAGATCCCTCTCCCCATTTCTTCCTGCCTTTGACTAGGTGAAGACGTGGGCTAGTCATTTTCTCCACAGTCTTTCAACATCCTTACTCCTCCTCTTGTTTGTCTGCTCTGGGCAAAAACTCTTGAGCCCAAGACTTGGAGTCTGAGTCTCCCTGCCTCTCTCCCTTTCTTCTCTGGCACTGGACTTCCGGTCCTTAGCCTGGCTTTTGGTGGAGACCCTAGAGCTGGGGCCCTCCTCTCCCACATTAGAAAATTGCAAAACCACCGGAAAGCATGACACAGGTCCCCAACTGTCCCCTCCTACCTAACTCACTCCCCCCCCCTCGGTGGCCTCTTCTCTACCCTCCCCCCCCCAGGCCACCCCCTCTCTCTTTCCTGGAAGCCCTCTCTAGTGTAGAGGGCTCCAGAACCTGCAAGTTCTAAAACCACCACTGAAACCACCATGGGCCTGACACCTCAAGAGCCCTCCCCCACCACAGGGCTGGACTGAAGGGGGGCGGGCTGGGGAGGAAGCCATCCGTTATCTGCACAACTCTGAAAAGGAGGAGGTATAAAGAGCCTTGACTGACATCATACCCGACCCCTAAGCTGCTCTGAGGCCTGGGGAATCCAGGTGTCTTCTTTCTCTGAAGTCCAGCCCCTTCTCCTCCCAGAGATCACCCCCATGGAGCCCTACCGGTCCCTGGCACTGCTGGCTGGGTCCCTGGGCTTGATTTCCTGCCTGATTGCTGTCAGCACCGATTTCTGGTTCGTAGCTCTAGGACCCACTCTCTCGGCTCACTCAGGTCTCTGGCCCAGGGGGTCCCAGGATCCCGTAGCAGGTAAGGAGGAACAGATCCGTGGGTGCGGGCAGGGACGGCCAAGCAGGGACCAGGTACTCTGAAGCCTCCTCTCCCATCAGCCTACATTCATGTGACTCAGAGTTTCTGCATTCTGGCGGCCCTGTGGGGCCTGGTGTCTGTGGGCTTTCTGGTCCTGTCCTACATCCCTGCCTTGTCCGCGCCAGGCCGAGGTCCTTTGCTGTCCACCATCACAGCCTTTGCTGCAGGTGAGGAGCCCAGGCCTAAGCAGGGTCCCGGGCGGTGGTGGCAGTGGAGGTCCTGCGGAGGGAATCAGCCCTGTCTCTCCAATCCTCATCCCCAGCCCTGTCCCTGATCGTGGCCATGGTCGTGTATACCAGCGAGCGCTGGGACCAGCATCCACATCCCCAGATTCAGACGTTCTTCTCCTGGTCCTTCTACCTGGGCTGGGTCTCGACCATCTTGTGGCTGTGTACAGGTGATCACCCAGCCTGCTTCCCTGGGAAGCATGGGGGGGTGGGGCGTGCAGGATGGAGGCAAGGTGCTAAAATGCTCGTCTGGCCATCACAGGTTCCCTGAGTCTGGCCACTCACTGTCGCGCCCCTCGACCCGGCTATGAAGCCATGTGAAAGGAAGGCAAAAAAGAAAAGAAGAAAAAGCAAGTTTGGGGCATTGTGTTGAGATGTTAAGAGCTATGGGAAAGGAATGTTTGATTCTCCCTCCATCTCACCCTCCTGGCCATGGTCCTTCAACGATTCCTTTACTTTCAATAAAAAATTGTGCTCAACTCTGATTGTCCCAAGAGCTTCAGTCAAGACAGAAGCCAACCAGAGAGCAGTGACCCTGGGAAGCCAGAGGAAGGTGAGCGCTGCTCAGATCTGTCCCCCGTCTGTAGGGGACTTCCCGGCTGTGTAGACATAGGCTCCCTTTTATTAATTGAAGCACCAGGACTTGAACAACTCAGGGCCTCATTCTCGTGCTTAGCCTTTCCATTCATGGCTGGTACTCTACCACTTGAGCCACATCTCCAGTTCTGGGTTTTTGCTAGGTAATTGGAGAAAAGAGTCTCTTTGGGTTTGTCTGCCTGGGCTGGCTTTAAACCTCGATCTTCAGATCTCAGCCTCCTGATTAGCTAGGATTACAAGCCTGAGCCACCTGCTCCAGCTCCTTATTTGCCTCCAGAGACAGGGCCTCACTAACTTTGTCTGAACTGGCCTTGAACTTGAAATCCTCCTGTCTTTGTCTTCCAAATAACTGTATATTTCCTTTCCTTTCTCTGAAGCTTTCCTATCTCCCTAGTTCTTTTTCTATTTCTGACTGTACTAATGGGTTATTTTTGTTGTTGTCTTTTTTTTGGGGGGGGGAATCCTGGGGTTTGAACTCAAGGCATTTGCCAGGTAGTGGCTCTACCACTTGAGCCAGGCCTCAAGCCTGTTTTCCCCAGCTTTCCTTTGCTCTTAGGCCTGGGAGGACACCAGGAGAGTTTATGCATGCCTGGAAAGTCAAGGGAATAGAAGTTTCTAGAAGGGCTTGATCTACCAAGACATAGGTCCCAAGTTCCCCACCCCCCCCAACCAGCTATTTTACCCTCATTCTGTGAGAACTGATGGCTGGTGTGTACCCAGACATTGTCCCTTTAAGTGGTCACTGAAGAAGGGAGTTCTGGAACTCCAGGGGCCTCACAGAGACCCATCCTTCCCCACCCCTTTGGGATCTTGTGTTCAAGAAGCCCTGGGCAGCTGTGAGTCACTTAGGTAGATGTGGGTAGGGATGGGGTGTGGGGGAGGGCACTGGCCCCGGAAGTGACATTTCACTGCAGGGTGGGTGGGGGACAGGCTCCAAACCCTGGGAACTTCAATGGAGGGGGGTCTGGTCTCCAGAAGGGTGAGGGGGGATGGAAGGAGTTGAGGGTTTTGAGGCAGGGCCTGCAGTATGGGGATTCTGAGGATGGGGCCTCCGGCAGGGGTGGGGGGTCTCAGGGGCCTGGGCAAGCATGTGGGGTTCTTGGCAGCAGCTCCTGCAGCATGGGGGTGAAGCGGAGCCTTCAAAGTGGGGGTGTCCTGCTCAGTCTCTTGACCAATGTCCTCACCGTGCTGTCTACTGCCACCAACTACTGGACCCGTCAGCACGGCGGCCACAGCGGCCTGTGGCAGGAGTGTGTCCAGGGCAACTGCTCCAACATTCCCTGCCAGAGTGAGGCCCCCTGGGGTCAGACCCTCTCCTAGCCCTCCCCCCAGACCCTCCCCCAGACCCTCCCCCAGACCCCCTCAGCCCC